ACTACTGTTTGTTTGTTTATTTTGATTTCAATCAAATTTGAACATTGAACTTTAAGATTCCTGTTTTATTGTTGTTTGCAAAATTTTCTTACATATGAAACACCTTATTCTCTTTATTCGTTTACTATTTTAGATAAAATCTAGCAAAAACATATCACTTGTAGTAAATAAAAAGAGAATTTCAATTCTTTTTTAGTTTCTCACCTATGGATTCTATTACTATTGATGTCAATCGTGCAGAAAAGGCAACTTCTTTCTTGACTATCAATGAACAAGAAAGATATAAACCGACAACATTATCAAATGCAAATAATGGACGATATGCTTATTTACCACTATTTCCAACAAAGTCTATGAGCATCAACAAATCTTTACTTTTAGCAAATGTATCAGGTTCGTCTTTTGACATGTTTCTACTCTTAGACCCTTATCTAATTGTTTCTATGATTGGGTAGCTACTCATCTTACACCTTATGAAATAGCGCAACATGAAGAAGCTGCCCATACCTCGGATGCACTCATCTTAATGAATATGTACGACTATGGCAATATATATTCAGTTTGTCTGAAGACGATGCAGAAGAATTAGCCAATCGATTACATGTAGGCAAGTCAATTATAACTTTCCATGCTGATCGGCTTCGTGGTATCTGTTCTACTCTTCTGGCTTTGCATGAATCATTTCGTCGAAATGTTCTCTGTATTGCTGACGTTGCCTTAAAAGAACCAACACTCAACTCAAAACAAATGTCCATACTATTAGAATTCTATTTACAAATAGATGGTTCGTTTTCATAGTTATAAATCAGATTATAATTTTCTGCATTTGTTTAGTGGATTTATTCAACATGAAAACGTGTTCGTATCGAGGAGCTATTCCTGACTCAACGGCGCAAGGTCTCTTTTGTGGAAAAGAGGAACCTCAAGCACGCTATTCTTTTGTTCCATGTGGTAATCTATTTTGTTTCTGTTGCTATCCAAAAAATACCTACAAGAAAAAAGAATCATGGCCAGTGATTGATTTTCATTCAAGTTCGATGCATACGTTTGTCAATGGCTACGAGACCTATCTGAATTGTCCAGTCGTATGTTCTTTTCTCATATTGAATGGTCATCGATAGACCATGAGTGATATTTAGACATGTACTACAAAAAATATCATCTATGTGATGACATGTCCATGTGGTCATTATGATTATGTGGATTCAACACCAAATACATTGGATGATGATATGACATGTAAGTAATAACATTGGACGAAAGACTTCATTTTCCCTATATCAATGTTTAACTTCTCTCATATAGATCATCGAAAACATGGCAATCGAATTCTACATGAAAAATTGACAGGTAGTCCTCTTTTTCAAGGAGATGGCATTGATCCTCACGAACCAGAGTAATTCTCAATTCATGATAGTTTCTACACATAGATTATATTTTTCTTTTTCAACATTCTAGGAAAGAATTATTAAATAAGATGCGTCTTTATCAACATTCAGCACGATGTCCAGTAGCACTTTGTTCCTTTCTCGAATGTAATCCAAAGTATTGGTGTTTTGTTCCTCTACATCGTGACGACGCATTAGCAGACAATGCTGCTTATCATAACAGAAATTCAACGATCGATTCTGAATTAGTTGATAGAATGGGAATGACTCCAATAGATAGTCGTCGAGTCGATCATTATTTACAACACGTACCGAAGTCACCGGTTGCCTTTGCGTTTTCTTATGGACAAGTACAAAAGCAGCGTATATTTTTCGAAAATTTTGTATCGTCTCACATTCATCAACTACCGTACCACACAATAGATTTATATAAAATGGCGATTATTGCTGTTCGTAAGTAAATCTATCTTCATGATGCATTTATATACATAGTCTTTTCGGTATTGATTCAGTTCCTGATGATCGTTCGATTCTACTACGATATATGATCGAAACATTGTTCATTATTCATGGTGAAACTAAATTAAACATAATCTGTCCAATTGGTAGTGATGTTAAACAACGTTATGGTCGCCCATATGAGATGGTCTGGTGTTCGAATTTGAATCATCTATCCATGACAACTTCAACATCCCTTTCAAAAAAATATGAAAGTGACGTAATCAGTCCTAGCAATTTGCATTTATTCAATATAAATACTACGATTATACATATAGAATATCAGAAATCTGTTGTACTTATCATAGTGACGTGTTTGTTTTTGTTGTGAAATAATCTAGTAGAAAAATGAGCAAAAGAAAAACGAGATATTTAGATTTTCTATTATAATCCTCATACACTATTCTGTTGTAGATATATGTACTATTCGAAGTATATTGTAAAGATGTTGAACTCAACTGAAGAAAATCAGTATGAACGTGCGTATTCAATGTTTCAAGATTAGAATCAAACGCTTATAATATCAAGGTGTATCCATTTTGGCATAAAAATGTTCAATAGATCTAAGACATAGATACGTGCACAAGACATATGAATAAGTCCACCTACAAATAAAGTATGAAACAATCTTCAACATAAAATGGTCTCTTTTGATGAATCATGAGACGTCCGTCTATATATCTCAAAAAGAAATAACAACTTGCGCGATCTTATGATCTTATTGTTACCATGTGTTCTTTTTCGTTCTTTTTTCCAATTCACGCTTTTCGTTTTGAAGGCCTTTTTCTTAACGACACAAAAAGAAAAGACAATATGGACCCTACAGCTGTCTCCTTCTCTTCTCATTTCAGATTTCTACTCATCACCTATCAACAATATTCTATATCATGCTACCTTGTTTCCCGAAGACAAACATCACATACGCGTAAGTTAGCACTACCCAGGAGATTCAATCAGACCTGTAGATTCGATCGAAAACGATCGGATCCGCCTCGGATTTCATCGAAATCCGACACCTGTCATAAAAAACCGATCGGATCCGACAAGGTTTTTGTCGGATTCCCATCAGCCGGATTCCGGTCCAGATTTCATCGGAATTCGACGGAACACGATGAAGTCCGGGCCGGATCAGGTCGGATTTTATCACGTTCCGTCGAATTCCGATGAAATCCGGACCGGAATCCGGCTGATGGGAATCCGACAAATATAGGACCGGATCCGACCGAAATTATTTCGAACTGGCGAGATCCGACTGGGGTCGTTTGACCTGGGTATGTCTATGATAAATAGGCATTTATTGAACTCATATACAATGAACTTTACCGATATTTAGGAACGATTATATACAACAGGCACACCAGATCCAATAAATACGAACAATGCATTTGCCACGAATTCAAACGCAAATGAAATCACAATTACAGTGCAAGACCTGATAAAGAGCAAAGATTTTTCTAAGCTCATCATCCTATACACTGTAGCTATTATTGCTATCACTGTGCTAGTATACAATTTCATTTCCGACTTTTTTAATACAGAAAAAACAATTCAATCCAAGACCAACGCCACCAAGAACAAGCCAACTAAACAATGCGAAAGGAGGGGAGTGGGTTTGCACGTAAAACGGCCCTAAATAAAAATCATTTCAGAACACCTTATAAAATTGAATTTCATCTTCCTCTCAGTAAGATTAAAGCATCTGGACCTCTTTCAGGCCATATTTCAAGACCTCTTCTCGACATTTCTACCTAGGAGAGAAGCATTATCAACATCGGAATCACCCCCACAGGTTAACCGGGTTAGTTTCCCAAATCAGCCTCATATTTTCAGGAGAGATAGAGCTTTTCAAGAACTACAAAATGATCACAAATTGTTAAGGAAAATATGTTGCGCTCGACAATTTCCAAGGACCACACTGTCCAGGTTCAACAAGAAAACTCATTCTTGGGATAGTATGGTCCGTAGGATCTTAAGTATCGCTCCTGATACCACCGTCATTTTCTCTGTGCAGATAGAATTTTTCAACACCTTCAAAATGATCACAAATTATGAAGTAAAATATGCTGCGCTCGAAAATTTCTAAGAACTACACTGTTCAGGTTCTACAGGAAAATCCATTGTTGTGATAGAATGGTCCGTAGCATCTTAAGTATTGCTCCAGATACCATCGTCATTTTTTCTGTACAAATAGAACTTTGAAAAGCTACAAAATGATTACAAAATGTAAACGAAAACATGCTGCGCTCGAAAATTTCCAAGGACTACACCATTCACGTTCTACAGGAAAATGCATTGTTGTGATAGTATGGTCCGTACGCTCTTAAGTATTACTCCTGATACCATCGTCATTTTTTCTGTACAGATAGAACTTTTCAAGATCTTCAAAATGATCACAAATTGGGAAGTAAAGTATGCTGCTCTCGAAAATTTCCAAGGATCACACTGTTCAGGTTCTATGGAAAACTTATTGTTGGGATAGTATGGTCCATAAGATCTTAAGTATCGCTCCCGATACCATCGTCATTTTTCCGCGCAGATAGAATTTTTCAAGGCCTTCAAAATGATAATAAATTGTGAAGTAAAATGTGGTGCGCCGGAAAATTTCCATGGATCACATTGTCCAGGTTCTAAAGTAAAATTAAT